TTTTATATGTCATTTACCTTGAGAGGAATAGCATTATGGATATATTTGCAATATTTACAATTATTGATTCCACACAAAGTTCTTTGGTTGACTTAAAGTTTGGAAGTTGCCAATAACTCTTTCTCATCTCTCCATCCTTTACTCATGGAATCTGCAGCATAGAGTAAAAATTGGGAATAAAAATTGAAATTAAAATGAATATGGACTGTGTGTGGGCACTGGAGTGATTACAATATATGGCCTAAGCACTAATAGTGACAATAAATAATAGTCATGGAAGCCCTTATTATACCTACTAGGTAGAAAGAGGAAGAAAATAAAAAATAAGAAAATGCAGCAAGAGCAGGAAAAACAAAAGGAATAGTGGGATTAAAGAGGAGGAAAAGAATAGAGATTTAGAAATGAGGGAAGACATGGCAATCAACTTCTGAGTCAATTGTCTATCCGCACTCAGATCAGTGGGTCCTGTGGGAGGAGTAGGCTGGGATTTAGGTAATAAAATATATGCCAGACTATAATCTAATAATCTTTGCCATCAACTCAATCCCTGTGTGTATTTATCTCCCTCTGTTTGAAGGTATTGTTTATACTCAAATGATATAATTTCCTCTTTGAAGACATAGCCAAACAAAATTTCCTTCCAATATTTTATATTCAAAAGACAAGGAAAGTAATCTCTTTTTTGTGTTTCTATATTTGTATAAATCTTCTAAGCAGTGACCAAGATGAATTGCTTGCATAACTCAAGACTTTCCCTCCAGGTCTTTATCCTAGTAGAAAAATTTAAGTATTTTTGTATCTTTACCACACTGATTTTCACACACCAAGTATTCAAAATTGCAACCACATTAAGGAAGAAGTTTGGAAATTTTCCTATTACAAGGCAATTGCAATACTTTTCAGTAACCACCAGGCCTTTTGTGATTCTATGATTTTGTTGTTAATGACAAAGCCCTCATTCCCAAATGGGTGAAAGATAGATATTTTTCTAATAGGTTGTCATGTTTGGAGATAAAACATGGGAACTAAGAACTCCAGAATTTTGGAAGATTTTGTAGTCATAAATAAGGACATAGAATATGTATATCTATGAATGAATGCTTCATAATGGGCAATATGTGACACTGGAGTTGTATGCCTTGTTCATTATTTTATGGAGCCTCTTTCAGTGATTTTTTTCATTAGTTTACTGATTTTAAAAAATCCTGAAAAAATAGAATTAAAATTTCATTTTCATGAGATTTACAACCTTTACTCACTATTTGCTGCTTTCACACAGCGCAGTTGATTTCTTAGACTGGAGTGTAGGGTAGAGAAATTCTAGAGAATTGAATTGACCTAGTCATAAGATTTCTGGGATGCCCTAAACTTTGAATGCACATTGGGCCCTCCTGTGTTTTCTAGAGAGGAATAAATTAATGAATGAACTCTACCATTTTTCTCAAGGTTCTAGTGTTTATCTTATCTGTAATGGCAATGGCCTACTATAAAATGACTTTTCAGCAACTCTTACAACAAGACCACTAAGTTTTAAATTAATGTCTCTGGGAATTTCCTAGATCATGGGGGTGTGTCTACATGTGTTGTGTCTATATGTGTGAAAGAGGGGGCCGGTGAGGAGATGAGACAGAGGACACAAACTGATGAAAGGCAATACTCAGGACTTTACTTAAAATTTTGACCATTATGTAAATTATAAAAATTCTCCCTATGTAACATTTATTTTGCTGTGTACTATAGCATGTTCAATATTGGAAGATCTGTGAGGCACTCATTGCCTTCATGTTACTCAAATATCATATAACTATAAGGAAAAAAGGATCTCTTAAGCTACATTTAGTAAAAGCCATTTATTGTAGACAACCAAGAGAACCTCATGAAATCTAAGTGCAAGGAAGCTGAGCTAAGCCAAAAATGATTCTTTAATGAGAGACTGTTATATTGCTGTAGAACCAAGAACAATAATAACTTGATTTCCTTATTTCTGGGGCCACATGACTCTTCATCTAAGTGGTCATCTATTTCTTGCCTCTCTCTTATTTACTACATGATATGATTCTTTATAACTGCCCTGAAATATGCCTCAAGTCTCCATAACCTTCCATGCTTGGCACCACCACTAGCTTAATGTTGTTCCTATACACTACTTTTACAATCCCAGGGAAAGAATATAGTTACCTCAACATGGATCATGTATACACTGTAGGTTTAATCAGGGAAATAGCCTTTAATTATAGAATAGGGATGTTTCAACATCCACTCAGTGGAAGGTTGGTATTAAACTCTCCATCAAGGGGTGTGGAAAAAAACTAATGTCAGATTTAATATTTCTACTTCAGTGTGCAAGCAATTCTTTTAGAACAAGAGACAGATCAACCTGATTCTGCCACTGAAAGTTAAGTTGAAAATCAAGATTTTTTTTCAATAATATTCAATATAAATACACTGGAGTAGATGCCAGGAAGTACATCAATTTAGCAAAATTAACCTGCCATTTTACTTTCTTTTCCATGGTACTTGGAGATATCTAAAATATGGGAGTTGTTGAGAACATCTTCCTTACCTCTAATACAGCTAGCCCAGCCAACTTGTTAATTAAATTCTATTACTTCCACTCCTAGCTAAATAAAATAAGGTTTATTTATTGTTTATTTAATAGTATTTATTTGCTGTTATAAAATATACAATAAAGTTATTCTGTAACAGAGACAATGTAAAAGTCTTGAAATATATTTTGAATTCTCTTGACAAGATTCATGTGGACAAAAGGAGTTGCTGGAGGATTTGGACCATTTTACAATCTGTATTATGTTTCAGAACTTGCATACACACAAATATTCATTCAGTTTCATGGAGAGAATTTAGAGCCAACAATAACTTTGGAATTTATTAAAAACAGGTCATCCTTTTAATGGTGAAATATTTTTTGCTAAAAGCAGAAATAATTTTCTTTACATAGATTTGTTAAGTCTCAAAAAATATGGGAATGGCTCTTAGGATAATTTATAACACTCAAAATTTTCATAAAACCAAATATTGTCATTATGTTTTCTAAGACAAAGATACTGATCAGATAGAACTGCTCATTTAAGTGAACTATCTGTTAAGTTTGAAGTGAACAGGAACTAAAATCAAGTTCTGTCTTCGAGACAATGCTAAATTATTAATAATATCCATTAACCATTGGGCACATTAAAATACTTACCTCTTCTTTATTTTTATCTACTGTTTACTTCTACTAAATTCCATCTCTAACATTCCTCATTGACAAAGGGTTCTAATATTCTCCTTCTATAATACTCTCTTAAAGGAGGAAGGACAGGAAGGATGAACTGATAATCCCAGTTTGTCTATTAAAATAATCCAAGTACTTTGCATAAATTAGCATATTTAATCCTTACAACAATATACCCAAATATTATGTTATTTATAGAAGAAAAATTGAGCATCACAGAGATTAAATAAATCTTCCAACATCATATTAGCTAGTAAATATCCCAACTGGAAGTTGATAAAGGTCTATATATCTATAGAGTTCTTTTTTTGTTTAAATTCCCTGCATGTTATGTCAGTGATGTCCATTTCTTTTATGAAGTTGAATCTGCTCAGCCTGGCTTTCACATTCACCCATATCTGGTGTCTCCTTAGTTAGTCAGCCTTCTTTTTCACTGTTCTCCAACCTGAAGTTTGTTTTTCATTCATCAATCTACTTCCACCTCCAGGCCTTTATTTTATCTATTCTGGAGCTAAGGTTTTAATCCCTTCTTTTTTGTCGATCCAAATACTAAATACACCATGACAACTCTTTTTATTATAAATAATATTCCCTTCTTCTTTCTGTTTTTACTTTATTGTCTGCATGCTGTTTTCCCATGTCTCTCTTCTCTTTGTGGTCTAACAGCTTTCAGGATTATCAGCCTAGTCCTCTTTTCTTCTATAGCATTTACATGTTACTCTTTCACTACCTGCTTTGAAGATGTGCTGCTTCTCTTCTAGATCCTTTATATACTGCATAATTACTGACCATATGTGGTCATACTACTATGTACAAGGCAGGGTATGGAAGTGTATATAATCCAATAGGGTTGATATAGCACCTGCTTTTATAAATGTTCTTCTCTAAGACACAAAATGTGCAGTTTTTTATGTATATGAAATGCACATAAAATCCAGCATGAAGGCAGACTTTTACTAAATATGAAAATATGAAGGAGAACATTTTATTTTCTTTGTTATACACACACACACAGTTATGCTACTTTACATAATAACAGATAGTAGGAAAGAAAGAGTAAGGAGAAGAGAGAAGATCTTGTACCAGGGAGAATACAGATCCTTCAATAACTTTCTTCTCACCACTTCTGGTAGTGTTGTATTTTCTTGCAATATGTAACTGACATTTATTTAAGGTTCTGAAAATGAGAAATTAATTAAAACATATTAACTTTAGGAAAAATCTTCCATGGTAACTTAAGGGAACTAATGACATTTAACTTTCATGTCAGTCATAGTGATCCTCCAAAAAAGATCAGGGGCTAGAATCTCATGATTCTGAGGCCAAATTTTAAGAATCATCAAATGCTTTGTGGTTTCAGACACCATTTTTGTTTTTTTCCCAGTGAATTACTACTTACATGGGGCAGTGTAATTCATGTTTTCCTATATTTAGCTGCATTCCAAAGAATTTCATAAGCAGTTCCCTGAGCTCATTTTCCCATCCTCAGTCTGATGGCATGAAGCAAGAGGGGATTTTTGATGAATGTACTAATATTTTTCATCTTGAAATGTGGATCAGGGGTATTTTCATAGAGACATGAAAAGGAGTTGGGAATGGTGGGAATGAAAGTGATTTCTTCTGGGAATCCTCACTGTTGCTGACTATTCTTGCACCTAATCAGTGATTTGTGCACAGGAAGTGGGGCTTCTATATTAACAAGCTTCTCCACTTCTCTCTTTTATTTTATGTGAATTTCTATGCACAAGTATCATATTTTACCTTCCTATTCACAAGAGGCTACTTTTCCAACCTTCCTGCAAGAACTGCACTGTGAATGAAGACAGGGACCATTAAAAGAGAAGGAGAAAGGAGGAGGAATCAATTGCTATTTTTTCACAATTAATCTACCTCTAACTATTAGAAAAGAAGATATTCATTAGCTACTTGACTCCAAAAATCATTCAACTTGGAATTCCCCAACCTCAAACGAGGAATGGACTAGCTTCCTTGGCTCTGACCTCCAGATTTCTGAGGATGTGTGTAAGTATATGTTATCTGCAATAATAAGGTGAGGGGAGAGGTGGAGACAGTGGGGTCCATCAATCTCAAACCAATGGAGATGCTCAACTATTGAAAATTGGTGCCATATCATCTCAGTCTTCTGCAAGGAAGCCTTAACTCTTGTAGTTGTACCTATCCAGTTTTGATTTTTAATTTCTGTCTTTAAACTTTTGTTACAGGTACAAAGTTAACCCCTAATGCTCCACATGAACTCATCTCATCTAAATCAGGCCAAAAGCAGAACTAATCAGTTTCATTGGAAATTTGACTCCAAACGCCAGTATTTGATACCTGCAGTTGGTATGCACTTATAGTTCCAATATCATTTAGATGTAGGAAATTTGTGACTATTCTGTTATGCACTTTTTCCAGTAGAATTTTCAATATCCCCAAGCCTTTAAGGTCAGAAATAGAAAATAATTTTGATTTTTTCTAAATCATTACCTTTTAACTGAGTAAAAAACTCTGTAGAGTGAGGCTATGTCTTATCTTTAAAGTGTCATTCCCCGAATTAATAAATATTTATTTTTTTGTTTTTACATCAGAGTAAGTCAATACATTTTTGTTGGATGAATGAATGATGAACTAATTCTGAGTAAGAATGCTCAAGAAATAAGAGAGTCTTTTTTTTAAACCTTTCAAAAACTGGTTATAATCTGGTAAAATAAGTTTCCTCAAATATGATTCATATTTCATGAGTAACTAACATTCCCAGGACATTCTAAGCATTCTGGGTAACATTAGAATATACTAGTCTCAACTCTTGTCTTCCATCAGTTTTCAATCTAGTTGTGAGTTCCTGGGAAATACTTTAATTTTGACACTAGAAAAATCTCATGTCAGAAATTTCTGCTAATACCAATCAAAGTTATTTTCCTTTAGTTCCCTGAGGCCAGTATAAAGGGCTGCAAATTACTTGACTACAGAAATAAGATCTAGAGTAAGCATTGCAAATCACGAAATCAGGAAACTACTAACCAAAGCATTTAAAAAAATCAAAACATCCCTCTCTAGTGGCCCCAGGAGATATGAAAGAAGTCAGGGGATAGAAAAGGAGCATTCTTCACCTGTCTCCATGTATTTCCTTGTTAGAGGTTCTTAACCCTTGCTCTCTAGGCAGTCATTGTGCTTGGACTGGAAAAGCAGAAACAAGTCAAAGATCTTCTTAAAATCCAGGAAGCTTTTGCTTTCCACATGCAGGAGCCTCAGTGTATTTGAAGGTACACAGATTTGCATTTTCTAATTAAAACAAAAAATGACTTTGTTTCTAGGGCTAACCAGTAGGAACTTACTGATAGTGTCAGAAGCCTGGAACTTACTGGATCAATGAGAAGGGACTTCTGGCTTCTCAGTCAGACGAGGATCAGTCGAAGTTGAGACAAGGAAGCCCACCAAAACCACAGAACATTAACACTGATGCGCTGCTTTCATCCCTGCTACAGAAGCCGGGTGAGGCATTTTTGATACAGTTCTCAAGTTGTGGTAAAGAATTAAGCCCTGAATACCTTCATAAACCTTGCATTTTGAGTTACTAAACATTCAAGAATGCACTTTCTTTTTCCTTCCTTCCATAGATTTGTGTCATGATTTTATTTAAAAAGTGTACAACTTTGTCCCTACTTACTTGTTCCCAGAAATGGTTGCAATACTTTCACGGTCCTTTCTTTAGTTATCTGAGGATTGCAACACACTGAAGGAGGAAGAAAGTGTGAACACCAAACCAAGAAATTGCATTTGAACAAGGCTTGCTGCTGGGGCCTAGTAAAGATAAATACTCATCCATCCAGTGCCTTCATTTCTGTAATGTCTCACTGTCCAACTTAATAAATGCTTTCTTGCTGTTTTTTTGGCATCTCTTTGAATAAGGAATGTAAACTGAAAAGGCCGAGAAGGCTAAAACTGGCACAAAAACTCTGTGCTGAATAATATCAGGAGACACAGAGACTAGCTCAGTAGTCCCATATGCAGTGCCACAATCTCTACCAGAGGACAGAGGGATTTGCAGCCTGGAATGGGGCTGTTATATAATTTCCAGATACGCTAAAAAAAGGGGGGGAAAATGAGAACAAATCCCGGTTCAGTTTTATGCAAATGGAAGTTAAGTATAAAACAAGAAATTTGTGGAAAGGATATTAAAGACAATTTAAAGTTTAGTAAGCAAATAAGCAGAAGCATCAACATGTATTTCATCTTTAGCTATTGGGAAAGAAAACATGCATTTTTCTAATGACACTTTGAAATTTGGGGAGAAACCTCCAGCAAAATTAGACTGGAACTATTATTTCGTTATCTGTGTATTTACACTATGTCAGGAACTATTATTGTTTAAAGGCCTGAAAAGGCCCTTGGAAAGTCATGCTCGTTTTTCCCAAATTGAACACCACTAAAAAGAAAACTTTCATCTTGGTTCTGAAGGGTCTGACTTGACTTTGGTTGAAATGTTATTACTCAAAGAAGCCCTCAATTATGTATTTTTTAAGTTCCTTTTTTCTTTCACATATTAGAGAGATTTTTTCCAGGCTATCATGTTCAAATCTTTGATTAGAACATAGAAATCATGTGTCAGATCATTTGAAGTGAGTTTCTGTTAATTCAGATCCACCCAGCAGGTGGGTAGTTCAGTTTTTCACTATCTTTTAGGCCTCTAGGGACCCAGTTTTGAAGTGTGTTGCAGCAGATGGAAGTGGGGAGTCAGAAGCAGCATCCCGTGGTAATGGTTCACATCCAGGCTCACTGTAGGAGGGTAGGATTGGAAGTGGTGGCAAAGAAGGATATGTTGCTTACATTCTGGGGTTCTACCAAATCAGCAACAGAGATACGTAATTACCAGGAAGTCTAGCTCATATTCCAAGATGAATCTTGGAACTCTACCCTTTATAGCAATCAGAAGGGAGGAGAAAGAGATGAAGGTGGAAACACCCTTTTTTCTATAAGGACCCTCCACAGTAGTTGTTTGGACTTCCTCCTCACCAACCTTTGGCCAGTACTGAGGGTCACACCTGGTGGCAAGAAAGGCTGAGAATTGTAGCGATTTCTCCAAATAACCATGGGCCTGGTAAAAAATTGGAACCCTAAGGAATAAAGAGAAAATGGATATTGGGGGATAAATAGCAGTACATGCCTCAACAAGAAAAGGCTAGATATGTTTAAATGGAAAACACATTTACATATAGTGCTCCTCATTGTTCTTCAAAAATAAAAAGAACTTTGCTAATTTTTTTTGGTATGTTGGAAATATGTCAGCTTTTCATTCACTAGGAAGAAGTTATTCTCAGTCAATATTTTCATAGTTTTTATGCATTTTTAAGAGTCATTCATAATCTATTAACATCTTATACATTACAGTTTGCTAAATAATAAGATTTCAACTACCGCACACATTTGTCTGCTTGAAATATTTACCTTTGTAGTTAATTATAACATATTATTAATTTTTAATTGAATTCTAGATTTATTCTGTTGTTAATTTTCTCCTTTGCTGTTTATTCTCCATAAGAAGAGGTATAAGCACTATGTGAAGACTGTAGATTAGTACATGACAGATGGGAGAACACCTCGCCTTTGGTGGAGACAAGTACACTTATACCAGTAGTCCTTTGGCCAACTGAATGTGTAAATTTTTACAGCACTGCTCCCTAGGGAGAAGGAGAACAGGAAAGGTACAATTGGACTGTGGTGCATGCTGATGAATTATATAATCTTAGGCATAATTAAGCTGCTGATAAGATAGTGTTCAGTATAAGTACTCATACATGTCCTTCTTATGAACTGGACTGGAAATACACTGGCAAATAAAAGTCATGACAGCCACTTTCAAAAGTTGTAATCCAGCCCTTTTTCCCTATGAAATAGTCATCAAAAAGATCGAGAGTTAAGATGACACATTTACATTGTATTTATTTATTAGTTAGTTTCAGTTGTATAACATTGTGACTTGATACTTCTTTACATACAAAATGATTAATATAAGTCCATTTCCCATCTGTCACCATACATAGTTTTGACAATATTATTAACATATTCCTTATTCTTTATATCACCATAAAGATTTTACCTTTTAATCACCTTCACTTATTCCTTCCATTGCACAGTCCTTCACTCTGCCAACCATCGATTTGTTCTCTGTAGCCATGAGTTTGTTTCTGTTTTTTTATTCATTTGTTTTGCTTTTTAGATTCCACATGTAAATGAAATCATATAGTATTTGTCTTTCTCTGTCTGACTTATTTTACTTAACCTCTAGGTCTACCCATATTGTCACAAATGGCAAGGTTTGGGTTTTTTTTAATGGCTGATATATATATATATGTACATATGTATGTATACAACAATTTCTTTATCCATTCATCTATCAATGAGCAGTTACATTGCTTCCATATCTTGGCTATAGTAAATAACACTGCAGTGAACATAGGGTGATCATATCTCTTCAAATTACTTTTTTTTCCCCTTTGGATAAGTACCCAAAAGCATTATTTCTGGATCATATGACAGTTATATTTTTCATTCTTTAAGTAATCTCCATACTGTTTTCCATAATGGCTGCACCAATTTCACATCTACCAACAGTGCATGAAGTTTGCTTTTCTCCTAATCTTACCAACAATTGTTATGTTACATGTTTTGGAAAACCATTCTAACAAGCATGAGGTGATATTTCATTGTTATATTGATTTCATTTCCCTGATGATTAGTAATGTTGAATACCTTTTCATGTGTTTTGGCCATCTATATGTCTTCTTTGGAAAAAATGTCTACTCAGGTGCTGTGCCCACTTTTTAATCAACTTGTGTTTTGATACTGACTTGTATGAGTTCTTTGTTAACCTCTTAGCAGATATATCATTTGCAAATATTCAGATTTTCAAATCTAATCCAATCAAATGTTCTCCATTCATTACACTGCCTTTTAATTTTTGTTAATGGTTCCCTTCACTTTGCAAAAGATTTTTAGTTTGATGTCATTTGATTTGTTTATTTTTGCTTGTGTTGTCCTTGCCTAAGGAGACAGATCCAAAAAAATATCACTAAGACCAATGACAAAAAGGTTACTGTGGATGTTTTCTTCTAGGAGTTTTATGGTTTCAAGTCTTATTTAAGTCTTTCTTTAACTCATTTTGAGTTTATTTTTATACATAGTATAAGAAATTGGTCCACTTTCATTCTCTTTGCAAGTAGCTGTCCAGTTTTTCCAAAACAATATTTGTCCTTCCCCATTGTATATTCTTGTCTCCTTTATCATAAGTTAATTGATTATATAAGTGTGGGCTTCTTTATCTGTGTGACTTTTTTTGTGCAAGAATCATACTGTTTTGATTACTATAGCTTTCTAGTATAGTTTGAAATCAAGGTGTGGGATACCTCCAGCTTTGTTCTTCTTTCTCAAGATTGCTTTGGTTACTTGGGGTCTTTGATGATTCCATGCAAATTTTAGGATTAACTTATTCTAGTTTTGTGAAAAATTCCATTGGGATTAAGATAGGGATTGCATTAAATCTGTAGATTACTTTCAGAAGTATGGACATTTTAACAACTCTAATCCATGAGCACAGTCTTTCTGTTTATTTGTGTTCAATTCTATCATTGCTGTTTTATAGTTTTCAGAGTGTGGGTCTTTCACATCCCAATTCCATTTATTCCAAGGTATTTTATTTTTCTCCATGAAATTATAAATGGCACTGCTTTCATAATTTTTCTTTCTGATAGTTTATTATTAGTGTATAGAAATGCAACAGATTTCTGTATATAAATTTTGTATCTTACAACTTTGCTGTATTTATTAGTTCTAACAGTTTTTTGGTGACATCTTTAGGGTTTTCCATATATATATATAGTATCATGTTATCTGCAAGTAGTGACAGTGTTTCTTTGTCCTTTTCAATTTGGGTGACTTTTACTTCTTTTCTTGACTAATTGCTATGTCTGGTCCTCCCAATCTATGTTGCATAAAAGTGGTGAAAGTGGGCATTTGTCTTGCTCCTCATCTTAGAAGAAAAACATTTAGTATTTCACCATTGAATATGATAGCTGTGGATTTGTCATACATGGCCTTAATTATGTTGAGGCATGTTCCCTATATCCACTTTGTTGATAGTTTTTATCATAGATGACTCTGGAATTCTGTCACATGCTTTTTCAGCAACTTTTGAGATGACCATATGATTTTTATCCTTCATTTTGTTAATGTGGTATATCACATTGAATGATTTACAGATCTCTGCATTCCTAGAAGAAATCCCATTTGATCATAGCATAGGATCCACTTAATGTATTGTTGAATTTGTTTTGGAATGTTTTGTTAAGGATTTTGTATCTATGTTCATCATAGATATTGGAGTGAAATTGTCTTTTTTTGTAGTGTTTTGTCTGGTTTTGTTATCAGGGTAATGATG